TTTAGCCCGATGGACCACTAGGATCAGACATTAAACTGATCAGAACAGATACAATGCACTTGATCTTAGCCAAAAGGCCCCTCAACTCCTCAAGGACCTCAAGCTCATTCCCAACATTTCCGTCTCCATGGAGCACAGAGAGGACACCACTCTGGGTGTGTGTAGACTCTGTACTGCAGTGAAAGAATAGCCACACTACCGGTAGGAGGTTCTCTGCTACCCTCTGGACGTGATTCCTGTCACATGCATCCAAGGTTGTCGTAATTACGGTCCGATACATTTGGAAAAGTACTAGTATGACAAGGCTGCTCCAAGTCTGAAGTACTACTTCGACTCCCAACCGTTGCATGGGTCTATCCTGAGGGCAGTGCTGTCCAACCGACGACGTCCCACCGTGCAATTAGCAAAAAGGATAGGATTTATTATTGCCAGAATGTGGTCGTAAAAGTGGAGAGGTTCAGAAAATGGCCATCTATCTGCTTCTCTGCATCTCTGCATAACACACATCCAGATTCAGGGACTTCGTCCAATCCTCTTCACTCGTGGGACCTCGCCCAAGCCGTGGTCCTTCTCGCTAGTGGGACCTCGCCCAAGCCCCAGTCCTCGTCGATGCATCTTCCCATGATGCAGAGCAAGATTCATTCGTTCTCACGATGCACATTTGGTGAGTGATGGGTGGGGCGGCCCTCACACCGGCTGCTCTCCGCTATTATGGGTGGGAGAACAACTCCATCCCGTGTGACACCAGCTATATACCTACACGGCGGCCATGAGATCCGAAATATATTTGAAAAAACGTAAGAAATATCCCCTGCGCCGGATTCCTTATTTCTTTTTAATCAACCTGTGAATGCCTGATTCTAATTGGACATCATCATAAAAAAAAAAAAAAAAAAAAAAGGACATCAACATCTCGTTTAAAAGAAGAATCACTGCCTGTCCCGATTCTGGATCAATGATCCCTGACGTGCAGCAGATGCACCCATACAAACGTTAATGGGAGACAGTCAGCCAGACCAACAAGGCTAAACCAGCCAAACGTTAATGGGATAATTGGTAGGAAGAGCCCACGCCAAAACCTTTCCGGTTTGGGGCGCCTAAAAATTACCCCATCCAAGTCAGCCAGACCAACAGGGCTGGATTACCTAATCCGTCCATAGGGAGGTAGAGACAATTAACAATAGTGGTCTATTTGCAGTCCTGTAATTACAGGAACAGTCCTTAAACTCCAAAAATGGGGAAACTTATAAACTGCCGAATAGAACGTCCCGTCATTATCGCTGCATTATATCTGCATTTGGCTCAACTTTCGGTCTAGATGGGTGTCCCAACTGCCCTACCGTTTTCACCCGAATAGAACGCCCGGTCATTATCGCCGCATCTGGACCGAAAGTTGGGCCAAATGCAGCTTTAATGATCTGGCGTTCTATTCGGCTGAAGACGGTAGGGCAGTTCGACACCCATCACCTGTCCAACTACAGACCCGAGTTCGAAACCTCACGCAATCAGATGAACAGAATGAAATAACTCTGAGCTACCTTACCCTCTCTCTCTCTCTCTCTCTCTCTCTCTCTCTCTCTCTCTCTCTCTCTCTCTCTCTCTCTCTCTCTCTCTCTGTGNCTCTCTCTCTCTCTCTCTCTCTCTCTCTCTCTCTCTCTCTCTCTCTCTCTCTCTCTCTCTCTCTCTGTGCGTGTGTGTGTGTGTGTGTGTGTGTGACATCATCGTTGAATTGCGCGGCCCCAGGTAATTCGGAATTATTTCATCCAATTTATGGGTGGGTTCCCATTGCATCTGGTCATGATCTAAATTTGAACTCTTCATGGGTGTACGGCGATTTCGTCAAAACCGACATTTTATATTTTTTGAACGAAATTCAAATCTACTTATCTGGCCCAAAAAATATCACATTTCATCTCATAAGGGCCATTTGGATTTAACGGAAGTTCAGGTACATCCAAGGGGGGCCCCAGGCAGCTAAAACGGTGACATTTCCAGGGCGAAAAACGAAATCGCTGTTTGAGGGGCCATCAAAAATTCAAATCCAGATGCAATCCACCTGCCCTCAGTTGGATTCGCTGGGTGTACGGACTGAAGGCATACTCGCACTAGCACTTTCCAGAATGCATCTGACGTCAATTACAGTCCAGACCTGCATGAATCTGACTGCAATCACGTCCAGAGTTTCTTGTGTTAAGAAACAAGTCCCAGTGTTAGTAGTATGCCTTGGGCTAGGCCCGCTCGTGCATCAGCAGCTATCACGTGAGCGAGTATAGAGGCGACGTTCCGCGCCATTAGACTCACTGTGTGGGTCTCGCCGCACCACTTACCAGATGTGAAAACGACAAAAACATGGGGAACCGTATTTGTCCACGATCTAGGTGAAGATGCATTCTATTTGTTTTTGACATTTGGAGAGCCGTGCGGCGAGGCCGTAAATCAAGCAAATGCAGATCATAGATCCGGTGCAAAACGAGGAAGCAACTGAGTCAAATACACACAACTATTAACTGATCGCACTCTATGGGTCTCGCCGAGTCAAATACACAAGTATAACTGATCCCACTATATGGTGGGCCTCGGTGCACAACTCTCCACATGTCCAAAAGACAAAAAAGATGGCAATGTATCTTTCCACGTTCTAGAAGAAGATTCATTCTCAATTTGCACATTTGCCGTAGTGCCGCGTGGCCCTAGAGAATGCATAAAACAAGCAGTCTGGACAAATTGTAGAGGCCAGATACAGTGGAAAACAAGAAAGCAACTGAGTCAAGAATATACAGAAATTACAATTACCTGATCTGGCTCAGTTAGTAACTGTTCCAACTTACAGACCCGAGTTCAAATCCAGATGCAGTTGGATGAAGGAGAAACAAAGAAAGGAGAGAAAAAGGGGCAAAGGGGGCGGATGGGGAAGGGGGAGGAAAGAAAACACGACTGTACGCGCGATACATTCGTCAAAACGTTATGCTCAGTAAGCCCATCACCACCTCATGGAAAACAAAAAAAAAAAAGGGAAAAGGAGGTGACCCATCACCGAGCATACAACGGATACTACCCTTCTTCAGCCAATACAACGTATAGTCATTACAGCTGTATTGAGACTGAAAAACACCGGAAATACAGCTATAATGACAGTCCGTATTGTATTCAAGCGAGGAAGGCAGTGCAAGTAACGCACACCGCGTGCACCAGAAAACTCCTCACATTGGGTCCCAAGGTGAGGAAATCCTTCAAATCCCCAATCGACAATCAGTATGCAATCGGAGGAACAAAGAATAACTTTTCAGTATGATGGGACGCGGTCTGTCTTCACAATTTCTTTTGTTTGACACGGAGTAACAATAATTAAAATAACAAATTAGAAATTAAATTGAAAAAGATAAACACCGAATTCCTGCTACAGCAAAGCAATCGTCTTACGCTTCGTCGCTTCCCATCGTATCACTGCCCGACCATTACTAGGCAGCAGCGAACATAATTGAGAGAAAGGGGATTCCATGATCGACCTTCATCCGTTTGAGACGACTGCACGCGCCGCTTTGACTAGATGCACAGAACGTAATGAAAACCGAGGACGTCCCTAATATTTTATATTGCACGCGCCGCTTCGCCTAGATGCAATGAATCTAGTAAATAGAGGACGCCGCTGACTTTACATTGCGCAGTCTAAACCCAATCATAACAGTATGAGCACTCTGATACACTAAGCTTTCTAATTACAAGAATGCTTTTCTCAAGCTCCCCTAACTTACTCGGAGACAGGTTCTGCCCCATATAGTCTAATTCGGTCAAAACTTTTCGGATGGGATCTAATTCTCCACGATTCCGAATTGCACGACAATCGCGCCATATCCAGTTAAAAAGGAGGGGGAGGGAACAGAAAGCTATACGCAGTACCTTGCACTCCTACAGGTATTATTAATCACCACGACCTGTACCATCTGCTCAAAGTACGAAAACGACCTAGCGAGAGAGAGAGAGAGAGAGAGAGAGAGAGAGAGAGAGAGAGAGAGGCAAACGAGTCGCAAACCTGCACAACGTTAAATTAAATCTAAAGAAAGCGATTTGCCGCCATCTGCGGCCTGCGAAGCTGATTGAGTGTGAACAACTAACTACAAGTCACCTACCTACAGATGACTCTCGGAGACAGAAAGAGAGAGAGAGAGAGAGACAACGAGAGAGAGAGACAGAGAGAAGGTCTTAGACGTTACGGACTGGGGGCAAACTGAGATTCAAATGATACTACCGCGGGTAGTTAACGGACAGATCGACGGAGAAGACGATCTTTCTAGATGGTGCTTGCAGGCGGCACCGGCGTATTCGATGAGGCGGGCACTCCAAAACACACCTCCCAGATGTTTCTTACCAGGTTCTCTGGAACGAGGACATCGTCGATGACGTGCACCGTCGCATTGACAGCGTGGATGACATCCGGGCTTACGATGCTCGCCGTCCCCTCAATTAGCGGGCTGCCATTCACATTCCTGCCCATCATCAGCGGCATGCCGTGCAGCGTCGTGAGCGTGTACACCGCTCCCAATTCCGCTGCAGTGTAATTCCCTCCAGTGGCGATATGGAACGCGACGACCTGCGACAAGACGTCGATCGGCTCCTTGTCAAAACACGCCTTGATATCGGCGCGAACATTACCGAAAGCAGCATCGTTGGCAGCAAACACTGTCACTCTCTGCACGGCCACATTCTGAAGCAGCTCCAGACTTACGCGAGACGTAGCAAGAGCATTGCAGAAGGCACTCAAGCCCGGTGTCGCGCAAATCAGACTCACAATGTCGGTGCCGACTGGAGTGGAAGAAGGAGGAGGGGGAGGCGGCGCCACACCCTGTGCATCCACTCGTGCGACTCCAACCAGACACACCAAGCCCAGGATGAACGCCGCGAATCGCTTCCCGCCATCACCGCGCTCCATCTCTCTCTCTCTCTCTCTCTCTCTCTCTCTCTCTCTCTCTCTCTCTCTCTCTCTCTCTCTCTCTCTCTCTCTCACGTGCGGCCAAACGTCGGGATCTGCCGACAATCACCCCTGGAATCCAATTGACACAGAGGCGTCCCTTCCGCGCGAGCTTCTGACGCTGACAACCACTACCCGCTGGCGGCGGAAGGGAACGGACGCAAAGGAGGCGAAAGAGAGGAGGACGAGCAGGACGAGGAGGAGGAGAGGAGCAGGAGGAGGAGGGAGGAAGAGGTGAAAAATGGCGAACGCTGTGGAGGAGATATATAAGGGACGCCTGCGGAACAATGGTCAATGGTTGGCGGACGACAGGAAGGACCGGCGCGGACAAAAGGAGCCACCTGCCGGTTTGCCGAGGAGGGGATGGTGTAGTCACAAATATATAAAATATATGCTGCGTACACCGTTGGACTTGCGTTCCAGCAGCGGCGGGTTCTGGGCGTTTTGGTTATTGGTTGCACCACTCGCCATCCGGCTACATTCTGAATGCATCTGGACTACGGTGCAGGTGCGATGCATTCGGAATCTTGGCGAATGGCGAATGGCGACTGGTGCAACCACGGGCCACGCTCCACAACTCTGCAAATGCGGAAAACGAGAACGAATATTCCCATAGAACATGGAACTATACGCCGCCATATTTTGTCCTTCGCGCATGTCGAGAGTAGTGCAGCGAGGCCATACGTTGGCCCTACGTCTGTGGCTTTTTTCTTCTTTTTTTTTTTTTCTTTTTTTTTTTTTAACCTCACACTACCTACCTACCACTACTAATTGTAGGCATACGGGAAACCCCGTAGCAGCCAGAACCGTGTTCACGAGAGAACATACGGGGGCTGCTCCCGACCTGCAGGTGGGCGATACCGGCTAGGGGACAGCTGGTAGCATCAGGGACCATGCCAACAGGACCAATCCCTGTGCCTCCCCTCAGGTCCCCTCCCCTATGAACATCAGCAGACTCTGCTAAATGCCAATCGGGGGATCCAGTGGTCTATCTCTAGGTGGCGGGCGCCAAGCATGCCCAGAAAGGTACATGAGGCCAATGGGGAACCACGACCTCCTGAATGCCACTTGTGGCTTTCCGGGGGCAGGGCCTTGCAGCCTGCGTTTTCCTTTTTTTTTGTCTTTCTTTCTTGGAAAAATTTGTCTGGCGCCCCTGTAATTTGCATCATTTCGCGTTGCGCCCCTCCGACGGCCAATTTACCCTGTGGCGCCCCTCTGAGCAGGGTTCAAACTATCCATAAGACCCCTCTGAGCAGGGTTCAAACTTTCCATAAGACCCCGGTGTCGTTTGGGCCACAATTCTTTTCGTTATGCCCCTACCGGTACCCATCCCTAATTTGCGGGATGCCCCTACCGGATGGCCGTTAAAAGCCAGGGGGAAATTTTTGAGATGCCCCTACCGGTACCATTTGCTGCCAAGCCATTTGCTGCTAGGTCATCTGCTGCCATGTCATCTTCTACTACGTCATCTTATGCCACGTCATCTGCTGCCAGTCCATTTGCTACCAAGCCATTTGCCACTACGTCATTTGCTGCTATGTCATCTGCTGCCACGTCATCTTATGCCACGTCATCTGCTGCCAATCCATTTGCTGCTCCGCCATCATCTGCTGCCTCGTCAGCTGCTGTCACGGCATCTGCTGCCAAGAGGGGGGCGTCTGCTGCCAAGTCGTCCACAATTGCCACGTCTTTTACTGTTTTCCCAGATGCAAGGGCGCCTCCCTCTTCCGACAAACGAAAGGATGTTAGTGGTGGACAGTCTGAGTCAACGACGAGGGCAACGGCGACCTCGATGAATGCAAAGGCCGGAAAGAAGAAGTGTGGGACAAAAATCAGGGGGCGGGCGTTGACTCTTGTGAATCCGTATCTCGTCTCATCCGAAGGTTACGATCGATGGAAGAAGATGATGAAGTTCGTTTTTTAAATTTTCGATGAAATTCGCACCGAAATTGCCAACGAAAACGGCGAATATTTGGGCCCCCGTTAACCATCTCTCTACAATGACAGTTGCCCAAAATGCAACTATAATGACTGTCATCGTAGACACGGCCATCATGACCGTGCGTTTCGGAACTTGATAAATTGACAGCGAGCGAGCAAGCAGGGGAGGAGGGGGGGGGGGGG